ATGCGCCGGAGGAACGAGACAGGAATCCATGGTTTTTTTCCGGGAATATTCTAGCTGATCATCCTCATGGGTCCAAGGCATGTTAAGCAACGATTCTTCGAATTCCATCTCTATGATCTCTCTGGTCTTATCTCTCTGGTTTTTGACGTGACAACGCCTCCGAGTTTGCTAGACGTACAGACCAAAGGTACCTCATCTTCAGCGTTATGAGGAGCTCCCACCTCTAACGCTCGAAATATCCATGACGCCTGAGCTGAGGACTTTGCCATCAATCTGATGCTGGCGCGAACCGTAAAATCAATTCCCAAAGCGATTGGACACCTTTGAGTCACTCCTTTGATGGTGTACTCGCATACCCCGAAAATTCACCAAGACGAGACATAAATGTGAGTACCTTCGATCGGAGAGCGGTGGTCGGGGTGGTTTTCGGTCGGACTTAGGCGTCAAGCTTCGTTACATCAGCAGACGATCATCATTCGGGAATCCTTCCTGTAGGGAATATTCCATGATCCATGAGGATGAGGATGGAATGATGCAATGATAGATGAAATACTCCTCTCCACCACTCGGGATACTCAGATCCTGATGGAAGAGTGACCCCGAATATGAGATGAGCGAGGAGAGCGACGTCGGAGAGTTCGAGGAAATTCCACTGCGAGACGAAGAAAACATGGAGCGGTCTCTGATTCTCAAAACAAGGAAGCTTCATCATTGAGCAAACACGAAATACGCGGACGAGAAATATGATTCTGAACAAAACAGTAGAAATGATAGATTTTCGGCATAATTATTGGAACGAGCAGGGGGTCCGAAACCACCGACCTTTCCACACTGCAGTGCGGTGCTGGTTGTTACTACGCCTCTGTATTATTTTCCATTCTCGGCAGGCCTGCAGCTGGCAGGCCGCTCCTTTCATTGCTTCGGTACGGTTTGAGCATGTAGCTGTCGATGGATTGTTCAATGAGATCACCCTTTTTGTCACGATTACGTCCAGGTGTGGATGTCCAACTGAATTTCCGGGGCAGAATCTTTGTTAGAGTCGAGGCTCGATGTCTCCGGCCTCGACTCAGAGCATTGCGATTGTGGACGGATCCGGAGAGCAAGTGCTCCCAAATGGATTGAGCTGGTATCAGCGTTTTCGACGGGGAATCCGCCGACATCGAGCCTCTGCGGCTGCTTTCGTAAGTTCCGACTCGGGAGAAAGTTTTACTGGCGAGGATTTTTCGAGAGATCCTGATGAAAGCGATCTGCCGGCCGCTCCCGACGACGATGGAGCTGACGCCGAACGAGGAGTGGGATCTGTATCTCCAGTCTATAGAGTGGGGAAAATTCCCGAAGAATCCGAGGAGCCTCTTGCGGAACTTGTCAACCCTTCGCGTTGGAATGGTACCCTGCTCATGCTTGAATGCTTTTTGGAGGGGGAACGTTCCATGAGGGAGATGTTCCAGGCGAATTGTGTCATGCTACATCGGTCTGTTCGAGTATAGCCCAGTTCCTTCCGGGGGAATGCGCTCTCTGTCACCCTTCCACGGCGCGTATCGTTCCTGCCGTATCCAAGGGGTAGACGGAATTCTGATAAGGTAAATCCTAATCGGGTAAACTCTTCAACTTCGAGATAAGATATGGTGACGAGAATGCCTTTCCGAACATGCGAGATACTGCATACGATCGCCACTTCCGTCGGCGGCGGCGAGAGAGCTCTCAGGCTGTCCCCATAGTGAAGCTTGCTCTATACGACCTCCGGGCGTCGATGGGGCAAGAAAGACAGACAGAAATTTCCATCATGAGCGTGTGGAGGGAGAGGTAACACGCGTAACCGATTTCAAATCTTCCACTGTCACCTTTGCTCGGGTGAGAGTTCGTGAAGTGATATTTCGAACACGTGCTGCAAAACTGCAAACAGTTGTGTTCTCTATGGAAAATATAGAACACGAGACGGAGGGGGCGCGCTTCCATCCTATGTCCTTGGCGCCGAAAGGGTTGGGTACGCCAGTGACACGAATATAGAGGAAATAAGAAATAATGATGGCCTTCCATGGTGAATTCGCCTTGCAATGATTATCGAGCCTTTTCCCCGACTCTTCAACGAGGAGGCTGAAGACCATTCTGCTCTGGGATACGTTCGAAATCAGAGCTTGTCTTGTGGTCATTTGTATGGTGGTAGTGAGCTTTGTGTAAGGTTCCAGCAAATAATAGACCCCGTGTCTATTATTTGAATAGTAATTTTGGAGAATCGAGAATGAGCCGCACCGGAATAGTATCGAGTATCGAGCGATGGGATTCTCCCACCTTCTGAGGAAGCTCTTCCCCATGGCCGTCTCCATGGAAAACTCCTCAGGGTTCTCAGGAGCCCTTGTTGCCGCATTCCGGAGCCGCAAGAATTCCTTCGGTCCCATGATGTTCTCCATGAACCGTAAACGAATGGTCGAATTCGAAGTATAATCGCTTCGTCCGAAAAGAGCGTTCTCCCGGGTATGATACTGTTGATACGATCTCTCATGCTGAGATTCCTCTCTTCTGAATCATCTCCTCCATATCCCGCCCCAGAATGGCCTTTTTTGCGTCATTTCGAAACCTCTAGAAAGATCGGGGAACGCTAGAATTTTCGAGACGGATGGAGAACTCGCTAGATGGCGCTGTTGCAGCTATATAAGCTGACCGGCGCGCCAGTTCCACCAACTCTCACAGAGCAGCTGAGCTTGTGAACGCATTGAGCATTGAGACTAAATCGTCGAGTTTCCTCACGCTACCCCAGTGCTATATCTTCGTGCGAAACTACAGACTTAGAAGTGAATCGTCAACAAGTGTACTTCTGACATCCCAGCAATGGTGAAAGGACCCGCGATCGGAATCGATCTGGGAACCACCTATTCTTGTGTAGGTGTATTCCAACATGGGAAAGTCGAGATCATCGCCAATGAACAAGGTAACAGAACAACTCCCTCGTATGTTGCCTTCACCGACACCGAACGACTCATCGGTGATGCTGCCAAGAACCAGGCCGCCATGAACCCTGAGAACACAGTCTTCGACGCTAAACGACTCATCGGACGACGTTATGACGACACCAGCATTCAGGGCGACATGAAACATTGGTCATTCCAAGTGAAGAACGACGGAGGCCGACCGAAGATTCAGGTGGACTTCAAAGGAGAGCGCAAATCTTTCTACCCGGAAGAAATTTCGTCGATGGTTCTGACGAAAATGCGCGAAACCGCTGAAGCCTACTTGGGACAACCTGTTCGTGACGCTGTCATCACAGTTCCTGCTTACTTCAACGACTCGCAACGCCAAGCGACCAGAGACGCTGGAGTCATTGCAGGACTCAACGTCATGCGAATCATCAAACGAACCTACGGCAGCCGCCATCGCCTATGGCCTGGAACAAAAGGAAAGTGACTTCGGGCAGAACAACGTTCTCATCTTCGATCTCGGTGGTGGAACGTTCGATGTTTCCATTCTGTCGATCGAAGATGGAGTTTTCGAAGTCAAATCAACAGCCGGAGACACTCATCTTGGTGGAGAAGACTTCGACAACCGCATGGTGAATCATTTCGTTGAAGAGTTCCGTCGCAAGCACCGCAAGGACATCTCAAAGAACGCCAGAGCCCTCCGTCGTCTGAGAACCGCTTGTGAACGAGCAAAGAGAACTCTGTCGTCTTCGACTCAAGCTTCGATCGAGATCGATTCTCTCTTTGAAGGAATCGACTTCTATTCTGCCATCACGAGGGCCAGATTCGAGGAACTCTGCGCGGATTTGTTCCGTTCCACACTCGAGCCCGTGGAAAAAGCACTTCGGGACGCTAAGATGGACAAATCGAAAATTCACGATATCGTCCTGGTCGGAGGATCAACCCGCATTCCTCGAATTCAGAAACTTCTTCAAGATTTCTTCAACGGAAAGGAGCTCAACAAGTCGATCAATCCCGATGAAGCCGTCGCATATGGAGCCGCAGTTCAGGCAGCGATCCTGAACGGTGACAAATCCGAAGCTGTTCAAGATCTGCTCCTGATCGACGTGACACCTCTGTCGCTCGGACTGGAAACGGCTGGTGGAGTGATGACAACGCTGATCAAACGAAACTCCACCGTTCCCACTCGTCAGACTCAGACCTTCACGACGTACGCCGACAATCAGCCCGCGGTCACGATTCAAGTCTTCGAAGGAGAGCGGGCAATGACGAAGGACAACAACAGGCTCGGTGTATTCGATCTGACGGGACTAGCTCCAGCTCCGAGAGGTGTTCCTCAAATCGAAGTCACATTCGATATCGACGCGAACGGAATCCTCAACGTTTCGGCCGTGGACAAGTCCTCCGGGAAGCAGAACAAAATAACCATCAACAACGACAAAGGAAGACTCTCGAAGGAGGACATCGATCGCATGGTGAACGAAGCCGAAAGATACCGCGATGAGGACGAGAAGATGAAGAAGAAAATCGCGGCTAAGAATGCTCTCGAAGCTTACTGCTTCAGTCTGAAAGGAACCTTCGAGACGGACTACGACAAGATCAAGGACAAAGTCCCCGAATCGGAGAAAAACTCGGTCCTCGAGCGTATTCGAGAGACTCTCCAGTGGCTCGACGCGAACCAACTAGCGGAGACTGATGAGTATGAGCACAAACAGAAAGAGCTCGAACAATTCTGCCGCCCCATAATTTCCAAAATCTACCAGGGAAGCCCATCAGGATCAGGACCAATGCCAAGCAGCGGGACGGGAATGCCCTCGGGTCCACGAGACTCGAATGGTCCCACAATCGAAGAAGTCGACTGAAAATGTTCCTGATCTCTTTACAAGGATTCCTACTCGCACAGAGGGAGCAGCTCAAGTCGAGGCCAACGATCTCTCACATCTTAAAGTTTTAAGTTCCTTTATTTATAGTGAAATGCGATTTCAATAAAAGTCATGTAATCTTAAAATGATTTGTTCTGCTTACTCTTAGAAGCTAGTGCGCCTTGATCCCCCCTCTAGATAAGTCGATTTCGAGAAATGGACCTTATCTTCACCAAGAATGTTTATTTCAAGATCATGAGTAAGTCGTGACCTGGTGCTACAGCGTGATCTATTAGCCATTCCACTACGTAATTCATGAATCAAGTCTGAGAAGCCGGCAATAAGACACCCTTGCATTCCCCGAAACCGATCCTCAAACCCGGCTTCTCGCAATGTCCCCGTATAATGACTTCGTCATTATCTTGCAGGAATTTCCGAGTGAGTCCATTTCCAATGTCGATGGTCTTGCTGCCTCGCCAACTCAGCTCCAACATCGATCCGAAAGAGCTCTCCTCCGGTCCGCTGATAGTTCCTGACGCTAACAAATCTCCTGGCTGCATGTTGCAACCTGTGATCGTGTGATGCGCTAACTGTTGCTTCATCGTCCAATACATGTGCTTGAAATTCGAGCGGCAAACCACACCTTCCGCGCCTCCCGGAGGTTTCACAGAAACCTCGAGATTGATCTCGAATGAGAAAGGATCGCTATGCCGCAGGTAGGGCATGGGTTCAGGATGTTGTTTGTAGTTAGCCGTTTTGAAGGGCTCGAGCGCTTCCATGGTCACGATCCAAGGGCTTATCGTCGTGCCGAGATTCTTTGCTAGAAAAGGTCCCAATGGAACATATTCCCACTTCTGGATGTCTCTTGCAGACCAATCGTTCATTAGTACCATTCCGAAAATATGGTCTTGTGCGTTGCCTATCGGTACAGGTTCGCCAAGTTTGTTCGCGGGTCCGATGAAAAATGCCATTTCCAACTCAAAATCCATGAGTTTACTAGGCCCAAACACGGGCGGCTGGCCGTCGTCTGGGCGTGTTTGTCCGAGCGGTCGTTTGATCGGAGTTCCGGACACGACTACCGAAGACGCTCGGCCGTGGTATCCGACGGGCAGATGTTTCCAGTTCGGCATAAGAGCGTTGTCTTTGCCTCTGAACATCACACCCACATTCGTTGCGTGATCCAACGATGAATAGAAATCTGTATAGTCTCCGATTCGGGCCGGGAGATGCATTTTGACTTGGGTGATGGGTATCAGTGCTTGCTGTCGGAGTGGAGCGTTGTCCCGCAGCTCAGGCTCGTCGATTGATAGGAGTCTCTGAAGGTTCAGACGGGTTTCTCTCCAAGCTGCAGAATTAATAGAGGATAAGAGATGTCTTTATATGGAGTTCTGCACCCATAGAGTGATAGTCCCGTCCGTTGCAGAGCAGGTCAGTGATAGTAGTTTTCGAGTTTTGTGGGTTACCTAATCGAGACAGTCTGCACACCTGCTTTGCCGAGGGCCATAAAATCGTTGAGGGTTTCCTGGTGGAAAACATGCTGTTTTCCAGCGATGGCCTCGCCTCTGAACAGATGACAAACCATAGCCACATCCAATACTCGATCACCGATCGCGACTCCGACTCTTCTGTTAGTGTGGCCGATTCGGGAGAATATACCGTATGGCAGGTTCTCGATGGGGAAGTCACTCCCGCTGGGAACTTCCACGAAACTCCTCATTCCGGCGATACGGCTGACGATCCGCCCGAAACAGAAACGTGAAAACAAACGGAGTGGAATCGCCGCGAGCGACTGCGGCTTTACACTGAACAGAGTCGACAGCAGCAGATGATATGCGCGGCATGCGCATGCGCTGGATGTTCCACCGTGGAGTCCCGCGGCGACGATCGTCCATGCTAGGCATATTTTTCGGTGGATCGAAAGATAACTTGTCTGGCTCATGCCAAGATTGGGCGAGGAGCCCCTCTGATTATGTAGCTGAGAGCATCGAAATTCCGGTTTAGAGTAGATCTCCATTCCGGTCGTTTGGTCCCTCAATTCCCGGTCCCCGCGAATGTCTCAGTGATTGAAGTGATCCTAATGATGTCTTATTGGTGATTTTAGAGAGACAAGAGTAATTCCGTGGCGAATGCATTTATTTCCGTTCAGTCGATCTCTCCCGCCGGGCCCGCTGAGCGACTCGCATCCCGTCTCATTCGAACACACTGTAGTCACTCCCAAATGCTGTTTTTCCACACCAATGATTAAACTAGTATATTGCACTTGCAGATGAGCCCATTTCACACGCGATGAAGATGAAGAATATGATCGAATTACAGCCGAGATGATCATGAAGTCACCGCACACTCAAGACACCTTTCGGCGCTCCATTCAATTCCAAGCATACCACGTCATGTTCTATGAATGAAAATATTTTACTCTATATACATGTTTTTTACATGAATGGCGACACATTCGGTTTGCCGCTAGAGGAATTTCAGGTAAGCCAGGTATCCAAGAGAGTAGGCTAGTAGAAACATTCCCACCACCGATTCCGGCATCAAGGATGAGCGAGTCGCTCTAGCAGAATCGCGTGGCGCGTTGCGGTACTCTGTGGAAAAAAAATGAATTCAGCTTCTCGGAAAGCCTCGACTCTTGCATCCTCTGTGCGTCAAGAGAGATAGAGATTTTGGCCGAAAACTCCTGCATGAATATGCACGGGCTATGAGAGGAATGATCATCTCGATATGGTTTTCCTCAATGGATGAGGTGAAGGTGTGGTGATGGAATGAGACGTGGCCCGCGATATCGCCTGGCCTACTCATTGTATTCACCTTCAATCGCCTTAGTCCAGACGGGGGAGATCTTAGAGTTGTCGTAACGGAGCAAAACCTTCTCGAAATTAATCGGCTGGGCCGTCCGGAATGGAGGGCTGGAAGCAGAGCGGGAGTGAAAGTCAACTCAACGACACGGAGAGACGACATTCTCGCATCTCTTAAATAGGTTGAAGCAAGGCGACCATCCGGAGTTTTTTCGGGATTCCGACCTTGAGAAGTAGGAAGGCAGTGGCTCGTTGTCTAGATACAGAACATCCATGCTCCTACGTTCGCTGGTGCCGTGTCGGGCGGCCGCATTGAAAAGCTTGACATTTTTCGGGAAGTACTCCATGGGTATCTTTATCGTTGCTCTCCAATACGGCGGCGTGTATGACACCTTCGAATCATAGGCCATCCTCAAGTCGTCCTGCAATATTGACGTGGTCAAAACAGGACGAACATATAGATAAATATTCGTGGCTGCGATCTTCCAAACAGATTACCCAATCAAGAATCAGTATCTGTAATATTTTGAAGAGCCTGCCCCGATCGGTTTCCCACTCACTTTAATGCTCAATCGCTCGTTCAGCATGAGGAAGATGATGTAATGTCCAGCACTGAAAACCACAGAGTTTCAGATTGGGGTCGGGAAAATTGGATACGCGCTCCGAATTCTCGGAGATCGTTCAGGCTTTCCACCGACCACTAAATCGCTCTCATGTCTGATACGAGTTTATTAGACCGGACGAACTCACGGGCCCACTATGACGTGAAGACATTGGTTGTTGTCCCCGATAAATTGCATTTCGAAGGCTGAAAATAGAAAAGATCCAGCTAGACATCTGATTCGCGGATATTGGGCTCTTGGAAGAGCGTAGGACACACCAGCAAATGGTACATCGGAATCCCCTCAAAATGGACCTCAAGGGGCCGGCCAGAAGCGTCCCCATTGAGCGAGGTCCACAAAGATAGGAATGGATAACATGAGCCTCATGGGGTCCGGAGCCGAGAAAATCGGTCCACTTCAAGCGGAAGTCCACTGCAAGCGAGCCCTCTACAGCGGAATCCCACTGTATGTACATGGATTCGAGGTTGCCCTGGCCATTGGAAGCTCGAGTTCAGTCGGCCCTCAGAAGAATCCCAGTGAAAAGATTATCATTGATCGATACAGCTCGGCTGCGAGATGAGCCGAACCGTGCGGCTCCCAGCGGGTCAACATGACCCAGACATATCTCGACATTCATTTTTGTTCTCTCAAGTTCTACTCGCCCGTCACCGATGGCATTCTCTGCAAGGAAGGAATCTGACAGAATGCTCACCTTCGAAATTCAACAAGCCGAGGAACCCGCCCATCCGCGTGCTCCTCGGAGCCTCCGGCTCGTTGTAGAAAGGAGCGTCCAAGGTGATTGGGACTTCTCCATTGGTCTCCCGGTTGACTGTGAAGTTGTACGCCGGGACTCGCGGCGTTCCGTACCATGTTTGCTGGATACTGTAGTGTAACCTTGAATGAAGAAATGGAGGGGTTGAATGAACCGCGTGTACCGTGAGGCGTCGACCGGAGCTGCCTCCGAGCTCTCCCTCGCTGGGTTTTCCTCTGAGCTACCCGGAGAACAGCGGCACTCGTTATCGGTGCCGCATGATCGCAGACAGGAAATTATTTCTTGGTGACGAGCAGGGGGCCTTGGCGCACAGGCGGAAAGAAGCTGAAGCTTGACGATGGAAAAACTCGGGACCCATGAGCTCCTCAGATTCTTGAGGAATCCAGCCTTGAGAGCGGCATCACGGAAAGAATCATAGATGGAGTAGCTACCGCTACTTCGCTCGAGAACCAATAAAACATTCCGGACAATTTCTGGTCCCACTCTCCGGGGCAGATAGATCAATCCGTTCACTCCAGGAAGCATGGATTCCGCCGCTGGTTGTGTTTTCACGGAAGCAGGGAGCGCTCTTCGCGAATAATAATGATAGTAGTCGGCGGAGTGCCGTCATGGGCACCTTCCGAACCATCCGTATTATTCTCCTGTTCGAGAAATGCTCTGATTGCACCGAATCTGTCAGGGCAGAAGCTGACTCATCTGTCGCAGGGGATAAAGTCTGTCAATCTCGATGACTTTATCTCTCGAGTTTTGGATTTCCGGAAGTAAACTTTCGCCCAAAATCTCCGACGCGTCCTCGACGGAGCATCATATACGTGCGCGTGACATTCGCCTGCAGCGGGAGATTTGATCGAAGAGTTTTGTTCCGCACCATGAATATTGTCGAGGAAGGGCAGTCGTGGGAAGAATGGACCGTAAGTGCTCGGTCAAAGCTATTCTCAATTTTTATCAAAACAAATTTCGTCCCGAAAAGGTGGAGCTTCAGACTTTGGAGGAAGAGCCCGACGTCTCTCCTGCCCCCCTATGGAGTTTATGAATGATACTTTCGCGGACGCTACCGGTGTCAGCGAAAGTCCATGCGCTCACGACAATCGACACGTATTCAACCGCCTGCAACTCGACGCGCAATGGACCCTGCCGTCGGCGAGAGACTTCGATTGAAGGGTGCGCGATTATTTTCAAGGGTAATATTTTCAGAGTTCAGCTTGAAGCTTTCCTCCACCGAGAGTCTGCACCCTGCTCAATGCAGTCGCTCTTCGGCTGGAATACCCAAAACTTCCGCGTCTACATTTTTCCAGGATGGCACGCGTGGGTAAGTCGAGCTTGCGCATCCTACATAGGAGTTCTGCGCGAAGAACAACTATTTATGTGGTATTATATATTGATCGAAATCTCGTCTCGAATAGTGATCTCTGGATCGATCCCGATTTCTCGACCCTTCCGGCATTCGCTCTTCCAGAGAGGGGTCCCAATGGCGACGAGACGAGGACACAGAAATTGCGAGCAGGCGCGTGCCCAGGTTTTTTTGGGGGGTTGGGGCAGTAGCGTAGTAAGGCGGGGGCGGGGGGCGGACCGCCCCGGGCGGCACTTCCTACGGAGCTTTTAGGGGCGGCATTTCGGGGTGTTGCATCCAAAAAAACGGAGTGTTTTCGAGGAAAACATATCTGGCGGGGGGCGGCATTTTCGTCGAGCACGGTGAAAAAACGGAAAATTTCGAATCACCGCCCCGGGCGGCACTCCGGCTCGCTACGCCACTGGGTGGGGGCAGGGCCATCATTGTAGGGCAAACTACCGATGATGATGAGCCTCAACATAGGAGTCTATGGACCAGAAAGGGATCTTGAGGGGAGACACGGCCCCTTGGCCCCCCCCTCTGGGCACGCCACTGGTTGCGAGATCC